AAAACATTTTTACGCACCCTGTACATCCGATCTTGACGAAAATTTCCATAAATATTAGGCACAATGAGTTACGGGAATGAAAACATTTTTTGTCTCCAAGTCTTACAGTTTAGGAGTTTTCCAGAGATCAAACTCCTAAAAGGACCCCGAAGTGCGTCCCAAGATCTTTTAATATACTTCAAGCTGGAGAGTTTGGATTTGTTTTATTTTAAACAAGACACCTAACTACATGGACTGACAGCGCCGATTTTTCGATTAAGTCTTTGTTGGTTTTCCCGGCAACCAACAACCTCCAAAACCTGAAAAATCCTGAGTTGGAAAAAAATGCCCCCCATTCTGAGAAGGGCGGAGAGAGCGGAACCATAACCCATGATTTAGATTATAAAATATTTGTAAAACAAGATACAAATAATGTTTTTAGATCGATTTTTTTAGATTAAATTAATTTTAGAATATGTGTCATTTTACGTGCAACAGCCGATATTCTGTTTTGTAAGAACCAAATGGTTTTCAACTATGTACCTAATATAAGGAGTGATATTATTGTTGATATATTACAATTACAGGAGACACACTGCACTCGAACATTATTGTGTGTTGAAAATGTGCCAGACATATTGTATCTTGATTGTGATGGATTAGCCCATTTGAAAAAATGTGCGGGATTTACTCTGACCAATGGAGATTACATTATCAGACCGGGAGTGAAAGAGAGTTTTGATTTTTTGGTCTCGTTGAAATTGAGGGCCAATGCAGATAAACATGGAATTCAATCAAATACTAATACTGGAAATAAAGCACCATTCGTGAAGCTAGTTTGTCACAACATAATAATGCACGAGTTGAACAAATTTCTTGTACTTATAAAATACCATCATAATATCATTTGTTTTCTCACTTACATAATCAAATCATTTTCTACCCTTTTAAGTTAAAGAATGACCGAGTTGGAGTCAATACTGAAGTTGTACAATCATATCAGTGAAATCACGCATCTTATTAGCCGTTAATGAACTCTTTTCGAGTTTTTGATGTGATTTCATTTGGCTAAGCAATGTAAACGTAGAAGATTTGTCATTTTATAGAGAAATAAACGTTCTGTCTAAAGTGATAGTAATGTGAAGTTAAGCATGGCCGTAAGTTTGAGCCTCACAAACCATTTAGATCAGAAATTATTCGGTAAATAAGTTTTGTGCTGAAAATCAGACATTTTTTTCATAAAACTCTGACTAACATTCTTAAAATATCTTTGTTCGAATGGTGTTGACATATCATATTAATTTCTTTTTAGCCTAATTTCTTATTTCATATGTAAATCTTTTCTTGCTGTCGACAAGCGACACCATTATTTCTGTTTTTCTATTGATTGAGTAACTGACGAAACAATTATAGAATCATCACACAAAGAGCAGACATTATTTTTCCCTATACCCTTACTTACAATAAATGAATTATAAAGTAGAATTCAAAGTTTTTAGATTTAAACGGAGATCCATTAAGCCGTGTTAAGATGGGAAAATGACGTCTGATTTCATCCGAATATTCGATTAGTAAACACAGTTTTGAAATGCCTTCGTTATCAAACTTTTCAGTTTTTTGTATCGTGAGTAATGGAACGTCAAAATACTTGGGTATTAATAATATAAATTACTGTGTGCTATATGTTTTTCTCACAGTTTGTAATAAACAGTGGCGGCGCGACACCCCTTCTGCTTTGGAAATTTCTCTTCCTGTGATTTTGTCGTTTTACTGAAGGTAATTTTCTCTCATGTTGGATAAACAGTGAAGGCAGTTTTCTCCGTCTTTGGAGATTTTTTTAAGTAAAGACTGGAATATTTTCTCCAAAAATCGGAGAAAACACTGGGTTTTTATGGTGAAGAACCGTGGAGTGGTCTAAAAATTTTCTGCGGCAACAAACATAGACAGGGCAGTGATTTTCGCTAGAAAAGATCGAAAATGCAGGCAAGTTGATGAGAAGTGTATATTTGTTATTCCTGTTATGATTTAGTTTTGATAGAACTCTTTGAATTGTATTTTCAATTTGTTTTGTTTCCTTTTGGATGTCTTATATTGATTCAATTAGTTTATGAAAGATTAAGTAAACAACATTTTAAATAAAGTACTATTTTTCTAATATGTTCTAGTTTCATGTAAATCCAATAAATCCTACTCAAACCATTTGGACTGTGGACCATTGGTTGCTCATCCAAGTGAATTTTTTTCATTTTTCTAGTATCGGGTAGGCCAGAATAACTGAGAGTCTCAGTATTTTGCTTATAACTTGGTTTGAATTTGTTTCCGAGACTCGATGTTTGATTTAAACGATGCGCTGCGAAATACTCTACAAAATCACACCCAAATTATAATTTCAGAACTTCAATCAACAAAACTAAGCCAATTAGATGAAAGTCGCAAAAAAATGAAAACTTTCCAAATTCAAAACTGATTTGTATTAACGTTTTGAAAGTAAGAAAAACAGAATTAGCCATTTTGTAATCCTGACTTTGCTCTATCTTTTAGCTATACTTCACATTTTTTCACATCAAAAGCCATGATGAATTAATAGTTTTTCTACTGGTTGTCATGCATTTTTTCATTAGTTTTTTAAATTTTGAATATAGTAGTGCTTTCAGTAAAAGTCCCATAGCTCCATCAAAATAAAAGCTTTTTCGGTCGCGTTTATTTTGCTTTGATCAGAAATGATTGCTCTCTTCCATCTAACTGCAAAACGAAAAAATTCCACGTCGAAAAAAATTTTGAGTTAGGAAAGTTTTCATTTTTTGCGACTTTCATCTAATTGACTTTGTTTGCTTGACTGAAGTTCTGAAATTATAATTCGGAATGGCTATTGACACCCCCGGGGGTGGCAGCAAGAAGCTATTGACAGTCCAAAATGCACTTACACACTGCATAAATCTGTTATTCAAAGTGTTATGTTGAATTAGTTCTGAAATTGACGACCTATGAGAGGTGATGTCGGGTGGCTGTGCATGAGAGTAAGCCACTAGAATACTTCCATGTTACCTGGAGATGATGGTCTCTGTTAAATAACACATTTTTGCAGTGTATAAGTGTATTCTGGACTGTCAATAGCTCCTTGCTGCCAGTTCGATGGAGTGTCAATAGCCCCTTGCTGCCAGTCTTGGAACTGTCACTAGCCTGCTGCCGCCCCGGGGGTGTCAATAGACCTACCCATTATAATTCAGGTATGATTTTGTAGAGTATTTCGGAGCGTATCTTTTAAAAAAAAGATCGAAACAAATCCAAACCAAGTTATAAGCAAAGTTACTGAGACCTTTATTTATTCTGATCCACTCGGTAGATTATTGTTATTTTGGCAATCTTAATTATCAACGTTAGAAATAAAGTTTAGTTTCTTTAAAATTCTTTAAATTGTTTTTCTTTTTTGAATGTCTTACATCGATGGAATTAATTTAGGTAAACCATTAGAAGTATCAACATTAAAAATTGGATATGATGCATTATTATACGATGCTAAACCTAGTCTAACTAATATTGAAATTCAAATTGATAATGACTGGTCTCAATTAATAAATAGAAAAGATAAAATATTTTTTAATGATTCAAAATATCGTTTACATTCATGGCATTTAATTGAAACAAAACAATTAGTATTAAAATTAGATTTGACAGATTATAAACATTTTGTTGCTACTCATCATGTTCTGCCAACTGTTACGAATTAATTTACAAATGATGGGAAAAGAGTTGTACAAAGATGAACGGGCATTTTTATCACATCCATTTGGAGTTGATATGTTACTAATAACATCTGATAATAAAATTGTCTTATTAAAACGAAGTTTATTATGTGCTGAAGCACCGCTCGTCTTCGATCTACCAGGTGGACATCCAGAACTAAAGTTAACTGTTAAGCTTGTTTTATCAAGCTATTTGTAAAAAGTACAACACCATCTTACATGAATTAAGACTTTATTTTGTTTATTTTGGGAATCTCAATTTGGATATGAAAATGGATGAGATATTTGTAAATATTGGAAATGCAATTAATCAATCTATTATTTGTGAATGTATTGATGAAACGAATGTTGAACGTCAGATATTAGACTATAACTCATTCTATATTATTGCATTTATTGAAAATCCAATAAGTTATGGTCGTCCAAGTCTTGGATTTTGTATCAAGTAAGTTTTGATTAAAATCTAAGCCAATATGTTTGAATAATTGTTTAGTTTTTGTTTAGCACGTCATTGTCATGTGATGGAATGATGAAACGATATAATTTACATACTGATGTAGAATCAAATGAAAGTACTGAAATAAAATTTTGACCTATTGAACAAATTGATCAATTATCAGATGATAATTGTATGTTGAGAACTACTGTTGTTTGTCAAGGAGTATTAAATGCTTATCGTCGAATATTTCTAAAATAAAAAGTTAGTTTTACTTGTGAACATCTTTATTTCTTATTTATCTGAGGGTAATAAATTAATGGGATGAATATTTTTTTATGAAAGTGTTGTGGTATCCGTCACGATTGTTGACTCTTGATTTATTATATCGCAGTTTAAGATACGAAATTCTGAATAAATGTTTTTACTTTGAAAAATAGAGGACTCTCGAACTTGAAATTTATTTCACGCACTGAAAAATAATCACATTTTTTATAATAAATGTTATCAATATTATGTAGAGATCCATGTAAATATGAACATTCATTAAGTAAAACTTGTTCAATTACGACATACATTCATATTTAGGTAGATCTCGACATACTATTGATGAAATTTATTATAAAAAATGTGTTTATGAAAAAGCAATGACTGATCATTAAGGATATCTCCCCCTCTCCTCTTTTTTGAAAAGATTTCGGCTTTTGAGCTGAGCATAACCTAATGTAGAGGAAGTGTGGGCTACAAAATGAGCATTTTCTGATTTTTTTCGGCGGACATAATAGAAGACCATGGTCTATTTGACTTTTAAGTCATATAAGTAGCAGTGGTCTTCTAGCATAGGGGGAGGGGGAGCGGTTATGTACAAAATGCGTTTTTTCTCGAAAACTATTTTTTTTGCTACCGAACTTCATTAGATCATTTTATGACCTTTCCTTAAATTTCATCCGATCAACTTGAGAATTTTACCAGAGATACTCAAGGTCATAGGGCAGAGGTAGATTTTGGAAATTTTATTTTAGATCTTGCTTTACCGAGTTATAGGATTCCTAAAATTTAAAAACTTGATTTTTGAAAGTTTTTTGGTATTTTTCCTATAACTCGATAGAGAAAGGTCTAAAATAAAATTGCCAAAATTATACCTCTGCACTTTGACCTTGAGTATCTCTAGTAAAATTCTCAACTCGATCGGATGAAATTTAAGGGGGTTGTAATGTAATCCAATTTTCTTGAAAACGTGATGACAAACTTTGAAAAGTTCTTCTTTCTTATGTTCTATTTTGACATGATTTTCTGCTTCGACTAAACCATCAATTCAGCGTGTCTTTTCACTCCTCTCTAGCGAAACACGTATAAACGGCTTTCCTTCAAAAAAAGACGTACATTAGCATTTCGCGAAAATGCTGTCGTCGCATTTTGAGTATTCTCGCGTTTATCAGCTTAATCACTAACTTAGATTAATGTCTTTTCGCAATAGTCACTTCAGGCAATTCTTAGCTTAAATCATTTTTTCAACAGTATGAAATCAACGTTTAGAATATCGATAAAACATCGTTGTAAATAAAATATCCAATTCATGACTAGACCAATGTCAAATTGGACTGAACTTCTAGTTTATTTTGTCATTGTTAGACGATGTCAATAATCGATATTGTAGTCATAATTTCGAATTCTCTCATTTTTCTCTAAAAATGAGCGAAATAAAACATTATTTTTTCGTATTGACCAATAGATGGAAGAAAGAAATTGAAGAAATGAATAAAAACATGAGATTTCAAGTTGAATACGTCTTTGTCGTCAGCTCTGATATAGAACGATACGATGTGTATATAGAGATATAGATGCAAGAGAATTTATTTGAAGAAGACCTTGGCTCACAAAGCGTTGGTGGGCTCGATTGTAATGATGCTATAGCATTGGTCATCATAGCAAAACCATTTTACTTTTCTGACACGAAAATATCAAAGCAGGGCACCTATCTTTTCTAGAGAATAGTTATTATCCATCAAAAGTTATTTAGACCATGGCAGCGACCATCACTTTTTTTGACAGACGATAATTACAAATGCGACAGCACATTAAAAGCGTGCGGTTGCATCCAGTGGCGTAGACAAGGTGTTTTTAACGGAAGACCACAGCATTTTTTTAGGAAAGATTAGAGTAAGAAGAAGACTAAACAAATACATATCGCGGTAGTCGATATTTTATTCTGTTCTCCAGTGCAAATTAACTTTGTAAGGGGCAACGGCTGTGCCCCCTAGGTTTCTCCCTTGGCTACGCCACTGGCTGTATCAGTGAACGGTAGACAAGATGGAATCACGTTTAAGCCATGTGCCGCTATTTGAGTAGCGCTTCTTAAATTCCTTTTTAACTTTTTCAAGGATATTTTAAAAAGAATTAGATGTACTTCCGGCTGAAATTCATCAAAAACTTTGCTCTTTAATTAGCCTGAATTGTTTTTTGATTAGTTGTTTGAGCAGCTTTTATAATGTTTTGTTGATTACTGCCGAAACTCTAAGGCGACCGATTAGTATAAGATCCGAGACAGTAGAATTACTCTGTCAGACTATATGAAGAGATATAAATGGTTTCAAGTGTATTTTTAATGCCCAGTGCTCATTACACTTCCAATTCTCGCTGAGAGAGAGTTCACGAAGGAATCCATCTGTTAAATTCATAAAAATAAGATCTCTTCCAGGCGTAGAATGAATGATATTACTAATGACTCATATTTCGTGTATATACCGTTTTTACTTGTGTAATTGCACAACAAATGGTAAAAAAAATGATGAAACTACGTATACTTTGTTATGTTTTCTTATTCAAACGCTACCAGAACATTGACTCTTACTTTCTGAGGCGAGTTTTGATTCTATTAAAGTTAATGTTGTATAACGATTATTAAAAGAATTTAAGCTATAAGCTTATTTTGTTGGAGAAGCAATGACAGAGCGTTCGATTGAGGCGCCACACATCTGCAGCTATAAAATACTAAAGACAATCAAAAAAAATAAATAACATCAGCTGTTAAAACTATTTGACACGTGAAGAAAATTGAATCGACAAAGTACGGAGAGTATATAAAATTACATCAGATATACGAGTAGTATTTGTTTACTATTACATCATATGGCTTTAGAAGATGATGTCATGCATTTTCAATATAAAGATCGTGTGATGTTAGTTTCTCGTTTACTGTAGAAGTTATTGTCTCAATCGATTACTCTGTTATTGTTTTTCGATAATATATTGATTATGATATGATATATTTGGTGCAAATAATTTCGCATTTTTCGACAGTAGATGCAGAAATGATATTAGTTTAACATATTAAAAAGATTTGGTAAGTGTATTTATTATTGACACTAACATATTTTTCAAAGAAGAGCACTAACTGATCTCTACGATGAAATTCTAAATAAAGCATCAACTACAGTAGTTAAGTATACACAAATGTCGGACGGCTCCAGTTTCGTATAGTTGCGGGAATTCTGAAAAAAACGATGAGTTGTTAAAGAAAACATGGGAATAGGCACGCTGATGTGATACTTAGGCATGCAATAGTATCGAAGTAGTGGTATTATAATAGTAGATTTCAGAAAAAATAAGAACAAGCAATTTTATGTAGACAGCTCAGTTTTCGTCACATGTGTTATGTAAGAGGCGAACAGGGATAGAGAACAGCTGATTGAATAGGAAGACTGAAATAAGCTAAAACAAGAAGAAGAAAGATGTTTTTGTTCTATTCTGATTTAGTTTTTTCTCTATGATAATAAATTACGTATCTACACAAGATGTCTAACCGCTAGAATAGGAAGTCTAACGGCACACAAGATGAAGACATTTTTTATGGCTGCTGTTGAATTCATATAGTTGTTCATCCGCTTCGAGAAGCAGAAGTGAATAGATTTGATCAAGCGGTCTGTTTACTGCAGATATGTCAAAATAGATAAGTAAAAAGTTCGCTGTATAACAAAATAGCCAGTACCGATCAGTACCTTGAGTACGGCCGCGTTCCTTTTCGTCCTTGCTTTTTCTTACTAACATCTGAAAGAGTAGTCCGTTCCGAGCTCTCGTCTTTTTGAAAAAGTCCGGATGTTCGAAATGAAAAGTTCGGAAGATGGGAATGAAAAAAGATCGGATGTTCGAAACGTAACCAAAAAATATCCGGATATTGGGAATGAAAGTCGTCTCAGTGTACGGAACGACATGAGCCAAAGTTTTTTAATATTTTTTTATAGAAAAATGCCTGGATGTTCGAAACAATTTCTCACGTTTTTTTACGAACATCCGATCTTTTTCTATTACGAACATCCCTACTTTTCATTCCGAATATCTGTAACTTCGCACACCCGTTGTAGACTTTTACCGTTGAGTCTTTATATTTTAAACTTTTAGTCTTAGGTTATCACAGGGTATCCCCGGATGCTACAAGTCTTTTGTTCCTTTTTTATGATATCCTGCTCTCTTGAGTAAATAAAAATCTTATCTTATCTAGCTGGAACGCATAGGAAGCCAAGCAAAAAGAATTGTCAAAAACAATCCAAGTTCACTTTCTGGTATGCTTGATAAGGTGCAGTGACACGGAACTGTTATTTTATTGCCCGGTTGTGTCTGATGCGAGTCCTGTCAACTTATCGCCATTACACGATTACGCTGATAGAATATAATTTTGAAATGTGATTTCTTCTTCAGGTGGTTTTGTTTCAGTTGTTCGCTCAAATTTTGATAGAAACTGGCATTGCTCAGAATTACAGAATAAATGAATAGTTTCAGCATATAGTTTTCTGATATTTATGTAGTATTTTACTGACCTTATCTTGGATTATCGTCGTATGAGAAAAAAACTATACGAGTTAGAATAAGGGATGTTCGGTTCTCGGTACCATAACCGAGAATCGCGGTTCCGGTTGTTCATGAGAACCGAACATCCCTAGTTAGCATGTCGTGCAAAGATACATTGATTACCACTTTTTTAGAGAATGTTCGAAGAATGAGGGCTTTTTGCTCAGTTGTATAATTGAATATGAGATCAACGAGTTTAATTTTCTATTGATTCACTAGAATTTTGTTGTTAGGTTCTTCCATTAAATATTCTATCTCTTGTTTACTTTTATTCATACAATTGTAATATGACTGCACTGTAAAAAATAGTTACGGTAAAAAGTGGCAAAAAGCAGAAAAATGTAGGATCCACAATATTCCGCATCGTGATGTTTATCCTAGGATATTGTACCATATTGTGAGCAAACTTTTAGCAGAATTCTTATTACATCTCACAATATGCCACAATTTCGCGAAAAATTATAAAACTGTCACAGCATTTTGTACGATTGTGAGACATAATCAGACTTCTAGTTCACAATATGGCAGAATATCCCAGAATAAACAACACAATGCGGAATATTGTGGATCCTGCATTTTTCTGCTGTTTGCCACTTTTTACTGTAATTATTTTTTACAGGGTGTATGAAAATAAATGTCAATATATTAGTATCATAAATATGTGATGATGTATTGCATGGTATTGTTGTTTAGAGCTACATAATGTTATCAGTAGATGATTCAGACCAGACCGACGGCTCAGATGAATTGGTGTCATTTTGGTCTATCATAAGCAAACCTACTGCGGCACCCGAGCAAATACATGCCGATGAACTTCTTAATAACTTTGGCGAAAAACAAAATTATCCGAAACAAAAGAAAAAATCTAAAGCTAAAAGTAGTTTATTAACAAATTTTGATCGGTGGAAATACGATTTTTTTCAAAATGAAACAACTTCAGCACATAACAAACCAATCGATGCCTATATCTTGAATTTAATTACTATAATCAATGAACATCCAGATTATTATACGACAAGTTCCTGTTCCGGTCGAATACTGCTTCACGCTTCATCATCATCTTCAAAAACCGATTTTAAATGTTTATATGTTACACATGAACAAACAAATATTAATGACATTCTTAATTGTGTAACTACAGCAGCAACAGAAAAACGTTTTGATACAATTACATTTAAATTAGAAACACTTATAATCCACGTCATATGTCGACATATTGATTGTGCAAAACAATTATTAAATATTGCATTGCAATCTGGTTTTCGTAATTCTGGTTTAATCTTTTCACGTCAAGATAAAATAACATTATCTGTACGTAGTACACAGTCATTAGAGATACCATTTATTATTGATGGTTTATTATGTGTTGATAAATTATATGTAGAAAAAATAATTCATTATGCTAATGACAAAATGATGACAAATTTTCAACGTATTGATGAGCTTTCAGATAACGT